ACCAATGACGTCACAACGTGCGATAACATTGAAACAGCGCTTCGTCGTCTGCCCAACAACGTGCTAAACAACGTCGAGGTGTCGCCTGCGTCGAGATTTTATGCTTTTACCCGCACCGACCCGACGGACCCGAACGGCTACGGCACAGTCTCTGATATCCACTTTAATGATGGCACATCCGGTAGTGCCGTAGCTCTAAGAGTGATTTGTGAGGTAGTGTTCAACTCGGAGCCGGGGATCACAGGATATCAAAACCTGTTTGAGTGCAATGTCGCCACTCATACTACCGTTGGACAGCATCCATTGAGTGGGGGAGCCACTGGTGATACCTGTGCTGTGTACGAGGTCTATCCGGATGCTAACGTCGTCGTGGGTAGTATTATTCCGGCCACTACGGTGCTACAACGTCCACTAACTGAACTCACCGAGTGCGCTGGTCGTGGTGCCTGCGACTACGACACAGGAACTTGCGAATGCTTCGCCGGCCATATGGGTCTGGCATGCCAGAAGCAGGAAGCGCTCGTGTAGAGCGCATCGACAGCAGACTACCAAGAATCCTCCGCGAATAAGATATTCAACTCGTTGTTCGTGAACATAAATTGGTAGCTGATAAACGACGACTTCATATGCATCTTCGTTGAGGGACTTAACTTAGTACTCTTTATCAGTCATATCGCGGATCCCTCGCTCTGACACTAAGCAGGTATCAAATTGCACATCAGGAACTGCTTCAATGAGCAACAAAACTAGCAGAATTAATTTGCAGATACCTTCAAACGTTGTTGAGTCGTGCGCAAGTGTAGCTGACTTGATTAGACGAGCAACTCGGCAGTTCGCCTGTATTTCACATTTTAAGTCGTCACATCACCGAACGAATAACCGACGTTGTTCAGGACTTACCTCCCATCCAAACACTACCCGATTCGCATTTGAATGAGTCCAGCTTTCACCTTTTTATTCAAGAAAAGTAACGGAGTTAGAGTCAACAATATAAATGGCATCTGGCTTAACCCACCTAATGCTGGTCGTTCCTGTGATACTTGACGATCGTTAGACGACGACTTTGTAGTGATGTGGTTGATCAACAGGACCTTTACAACAAACCAGCATGAGAATAAACAATGGCGTACAGCAATATTGAGCAGAAACTCACAGCCAAGTCGAAATCAGTCGCAAGCCCATGTAGAAAGGCAGCAAGCTCGTCCAATGCTCGAGCTCTTTGACCGTAGTCTTCGAAACCATGACGGAAGTGGAAAGCAACCGAATCAATTACTAAGAGTTTGCACTGCAGCATAGATGGCATATCGAAGTCAGTAATTCGCTCTATTCGTTATTTATCGACACGTAAAATAGATTACCTGGGCGTTAGCTTGGAGATAGGACGGCAAGGAGTGCAGTATTTCCATTTGCTCCAAGAAATCGTGCACACGGTAGTACGTGATTCCTCGCAATAAATCGTCTCGTGTCTACGGTAGAGCAGTAGTCAACAAACTCAGCACTAGCAATCCACTATTAAAGAAGAGGCTTTAACAAG